ACTATCATATGACACACCAACAGACTTCCACTAGCCCAGCCCAGCCAGCCGACAATCCACAAAGTAGGTGCTGCCATTATTCTCGTTGAGCAGAATGAGGAAACTGAGGCACAGAGGGAGAAGTAACTTGCTCTAGGTCACACCACCAAGAAACCAGAGAGCCAGGACTTGATCCAGGCTGTCTGGTAACAAAGCCAAAGTGTGTAACAGCTACACTCAGGTGTGAAGAAGTTCTCATTAATCTCCTAATCACCTAATCCATGGACCCAAGATGACTTTATAGCAATTAGCCAGGAGTGATCATTGCCTTTGCCTTCAGGGCACATTTGGCAATGTCTGCAGACATCTGTGATTGTCATAACTGGAGAGGAGGGGCTGCCTGCCGCAGGCATCTAGTGGTAGAGACCAGGGATGCTTTTAAATACTCTACAATGCTCAGGACAGCTCCCTACCAACAAAGTTACCCAGCCTCAAATGTCAATAGTGTTAAGATTGAGAAACCCTGCTTTACAAGTTTTAAACATTTTTCACTGGGGACGACCTAAAGAATTTTTTTTTTTTAAACTTATCTGTATTTGTTACAAGTTTTAAGTGGATCGTGACTCGGGCACTGCATTTCTATTCACAAGCCTCACTTTCAAAATAGGTTAAACCATATAAGTAGGGCTTATAATTTTGCTCCTCAAACTTTTATTTGAAAACAATAAATACTTTTTATTTGGAAAACAGCCCTGTGTAGAGTTTCAAGTGCTTTACTTTAAAATCTTATTTCTAGAGGACTAGTAATACCTGCAGTACCTAAAGAACTTTGAAAAGTGCTTATGTTCTTGCACATTGTTTTGTTTTGAGACAGAGTCTTGCTCTGTTACCCTGGCTAGGGTGCTGTAGCATCAGCCAAGCTCATGGCAACCTCAAATGGCATGCACCACTGTGCCCGGCTAATTTTTTCTATATAGATTTTTAGTTGTCCAGTTAATTTCTTTCTATTTTTAGTAGAGATGGGGTCTTGCTCTTGCTCAGGCTGGTTTCGAACTCCTGAACTCCTGACCTTGAGCGATCCTCCTGCCTCAGCCCCCAGAGTGCTAGGTTGCACATTGTTTTAATTTTAATTTTTAAATTTTTTTTTTTAGGGATGAGGTCTCCCTATGTTGTTCAGGCTGGTCTCAAACACCTGGGCTCAAGTGATCCTTCCACCTCAGCCTCCCCGAGTAGCTAGGACTACCTTGCACATTTTAAGCTGACATGTTAAACTATTGCATCATAAGTTAATGTTTGTAAAGGATCTAATTTATAGCACATTATAAATATTGACTTTTATAAATTGTTACATCATTTTTAAATACAAAGAAATCAAAATAGCATAGCAATTTGATGCCAAATTGCTAATCAATTAGCCAATCATCAGCCAATCATGGCTGATGATCAGCCAATCATCCATGGTAAAAACACATGAAACCATCTTTTCTTTAAGAGTCTGGAATTTTACATCTCTCTTTTTTTCTATAAACTTATATTTCCACTTGACTCCCCCAATACAATTTTATCCTAATATTATATGTGTATGTATGTGGGGATATATGTACACATGCATGCATATGTGTGTCTGTGTATATGGTATAAAATATACTATATATATATGCTAGAAAGTCTTCACTGATCACACTTTCATAATTTCCTGCAACCAAATATATCCATTAATTAAAATTATAGGCCAGTTGTGGTGGCTCATGTCTGTAATCCCATCATTTTGTGGGGCTGAGGCAGGAGGATCACTGAGACCAGGAATTGAGACTAGCCTGAGCAACATAGTGAAACCCTGTTTCTACAAAAAATTTAAAAATTAGCCAGGCATGATGGTGCATCTGTAGTCTGAGCTACTCAGGAGTCTAAGGTGGGAGGATCGCTTGAGCCCAGGTATTGGAGGTTGCAGTGAGCTATGATAACACCACTGCACTGTAGCCCAGAGAACAGAGGGAGACCATTTCTCAAAAAAAAAAAAGAAAAGAAAATTATATAATTAAATTTTTTCTTTGACATAACCATTAAATGTTGAAATTTCTTTTGGATTAAGTTTTTACACAACTAACCAAACATAAATACATTACCTATTTTATAATAATTATTAAACACTCAAGTAACTTTTTCTTTGGAAATTCATCTTTAATGAGATGAGCTGGGATTATTTTTTAAAAATCAGTTAATGAATGAATTGACTATTTCTTTTGCTAGACACATAGGATCCAGAATCTCTTTTATGCCCATTTTTCATTTTATAAATTCAAGTACTTAGAAACCCTGGCAATGGAAATAGTTTATTACAACACTGTCCCAATTCTTTGCATTCTCTCAAATTAACTATTAAAAATCATATCATGTAGAGGGAGAGAAAAGAGAAGAATTAAAAAAAATACTGTGATCATTTTTCTGCATGATCATCAGCTGATGATTCATGTATAATAGAGTTCCTTCAGTTTGTGTTAAAGCAAACATAGAATCCTTGTACTTCCTCACTTCTCTGGAAGCATGCCCTAGAGATTTAGCGCAAGACTTCTAACGGCTGTTAATCACATCTCTGATACTTCCTCAGGGCACTTTGGTTAACCCCAAGCATACTCAGATAGGGTTAGGCTAGAATTTAACAACTTATCTAATGTTAATTATATTCCTTCTAGTGTATAATTCCTACTCTTTGCTCAGGCATGGTCTCAATCTCCTGCCTCAACCAATCCTCTGCCTCTGCCCTCCCAACACGTCTAGGATTAACAAGGCATGAGCCACCGATGCTGCTCGTCATTATTTGTAAAAGTTTTGTTCGATGTAGAATTTATCTTGTTGTAAGAGTGGATTGGATCCTTAACTTTGGTGGCCACCCTGTTGTCCCAACACGTTCATGAATTTACACCCTTCTCTTTCAGCTATAAATAACCCACGTTGTTGGGCTGGGCGGCAGTGTTCTCATGCCTGTAAATCTAGCACCTCTGGGAACTGTGGTGGGAGGTTGCTTGAGGCAGGAGTTCAAAACCAGCCTGGGCAATACATAGCAAGGACTCTTGTCTCTAAAAATAGAAAGATAAAACTTGAAAGTTACTATTATTCAGAGTATTGAAATATTCAATATAATACTTTGTTGTAATACAGAGAATAAAAAGATAGTGTACGTGTTAATATACTTTCTAGTGCTAAAATAACAGATGGAACATGCCCATAACTTCGTACATGTTAAGTTGTGGTATGGCCTTCAGTTTCTCATATGTTGGAGACCTCCAAATGGAAGTCTGGCCGGGCTTGTCGAGTCAGCAAGCTGTCAGTGCAGCGCTCACCCCCGTGACCCGGGGCTTAAAGAGATCAGGGTTTGATCCTGTCTCACGTCACATATACGATTCCTGTCGGCGTCTGCTCCCAGCATCTGTACTGCGTCCACTCCTGTTCCGTCTCGTACGTCCTTAGACTGATCCACGATCTTCCTGGACATTGGCCTCATCGTCTACGAAACACACCAGTGCGTGAAAGAGAGCAATGCTTATTTTTTCTTCTTGTCTTTTTTTTTTAAGCGGCTAGTCAAGTAAAGCAGTAGGAGAAGGAACAAAGAAATCTGTATCTGGTTGTGATCCATTAGTTATAAACCCCACTGCACTGGGGCCAGCTAAGGGAGCAAGTCTTACAATAAGGCAACCCCTGGGCTTCTAAGGCTGGCTGACTCAGAGGGAGTCTTATTGAATCAGCGTAATTCACAAAACAAAATTTAAAAAAAAAGCCAAGGCCTGAGAGTGAAGACCTACCCGTTCTAACCCAGACTCTGCCACTGATTGGCCTGATCTGATCTTAGCAAATCTTTTGCCCCAAGTATCAGTTTTCCCATCTGTACAGTGGGGTGATAATATCTAACTCACAGGGTTATAGAGAGTCAATGTGTCCATGGCACAAGCGTTGTGCCTGGCACATAGTAAACACTAAGTCAATTGGAACGGCGGTGTTTGTTATTATTATAATCCCTGTCGGACGATTATTATTAAAAGGAAGAAATACCAACTTGAAATACAAGGCGAGGTCAGTGGCTATGATGGCGATGTCCATCATGTGGATGGCATGCTCATGTTGTCGGCGATTGAGGTTTTGAAAGATATTCAGGTTCTAAAGAAAAAAACAGGAGAGAGAGATGAGAGAAGGCAGGGTGACAGTAGTCACTTAACTACTACAGTGGCCGCCCAGATGATGGTAGTGGCAGCCCAGGCCAGTGGAACAAATGCTGCGTGGGCACACTCAGGCTACTCGTGAGATGGGGTCTCCGGTCAGGGCCCCGACGCCAGCACAGAGCGCCCTCGTCCTACCTCTTCTCTGAGCAGCGTTTTGCCGAACTCCAGGTGGTGTCTTTCCAAGATGGAGGAGCCATGGAGCTTGGCTAGCGGGTTCTGAGATCTGCATGAGGGAGGGAGGGAGACAGAGAAAACAAATCAGTACGGAATGGACAACAGAAAATTAGGACTGAACATCACGGCTCCTGAGTCGCAGGCTTTAGCTTTCTGCACAAGCAATTCTGAGCCACTGTTGAGTCTCGGATTCCCTAGAGAATCTGCTGGACTGTATAGACCCTTATCCCCAGAAAAAGGCACAAGCACACACAATGCCACATGCAATTTTAGGGACATTGGCACTTTGAAGATCATCAATCCCTTGGTCCTCCGTACCTGAGTCTTGAGGGAAGCCATTGAATTCCCCACAAGCAATTTGTTCACTCATTTTTTTTTATTTAATAAATATTTGTTGGGCTCTTACTATGTGTCAAGCACCATGTCCAGCACTTAGATTCCCACAATGACATGTAAACACAGTCTGTAGCCTTGGAGCAGCATGGAAGTCTTCTCAGGGAAGACTAAGAGCAGGAATTGTAGTGCTTCCTAATGTCTAGGCCCTGGGCAGAGTCTCAGTCTCCTCATCTGTAATATGGGAATGACACTAGTCCCTGCTCCGCCCAGCCCACAGGGTGTCATGAGGATTGTAACTTGGCTCCAATTAGTTCAGTAGGTAGGACAGGGAAGGAGGAGGATGAAAGAGTTTAATGCATTAGTTTCCTATTGCTGCCTGGTACAACTGCAAAATTTAATGGCTTTAAACAATAAAAACGTATGATCTTACTGCTTCTGGAGTTCAGAAGTCTAAAATGGGTCACACGGCTGCTTTCCTTCTGCAGCTCATGGGAGACTCTTCTCTTTGCTTTTTTCTAGCATCTAGAGCCACCTGCATTCTCGCTTGAGCCCTTTCTGCATCCTCAAAGTCAGAAGGGCAGCATCTTCTCTCCTCTGACTCCTGCCTCCCTCTGATAAGGACGCTTCCCCTACCTGGCGGCATCCAGATAATCCCTGTATCAAGATCCGTTACAATCATACATCTCTCAGGTCTGCAAAGTCTCTTTTATTTGTTTTCATTTCTGTTTTTTGTTTTGAGACAGGGTCTCGCTCTGTTGCGTCACATAGCTCACAGCAACCTCAAACTGACCTGGGCTCCAGCGATTCCTCTTGCCCTCAGCCTCCCGGAGTGCTAGGACTTGCAATGCACATGCCACCATGCCTGGCATTTTGTGTATAGACAGGGTCTCACTATGTTGCCAGGCTAAGTCCTCAAATCCTGGCCTCAATGATCCTC